TGGACGATCGATTTTGTGCCACCACACTTATTCAAAGCCAATACAAAGAGCCCGTTCCTACACCACAAAACTAACACTTCGACACTATGAAAAAAAGGCGTACCGGGTACAGGAAAATTTTCCATGGAAGAAGTCGTACAATTTCAGTCTAAAATTGTAGAATTTACTAGCCCCGCTAATCGACTTGGAATCAAATAACGAGCGAGAGTGGGAGGTCGTTCATTACATGTACGACTCATTTTGTAAATGGCAAAATACAAAATATATCGTACATGTAAAAACGTATTTTTTTACAGTGGAAGTCTTTTGTAACACCATGAAGAATGTCTGCGTTAGAATGCACGGAAAAAACTAATTATTACTGAATGTTAGTTGAGAGAACTCACGTGTTCGTTGCATAGCAGTCAACTAAATCTTCAGTTCTTTTATCTTAACTGTTTGATGAGTTAAAGAAAATGTCAGTTGCGAGAAATAAGACCCGTTGTCCTGAGATAGCTAATTACACTTAGCTGCCCGAACGAATCTTTATTTGCCTACGTAGCTGGCACGCGTTAGTCAACGCATCTCACGGGTCTCCAAAAAAATGTAATAGTTGAGTTAGCAAACACTTGGTTGACACAACCTATTTTTGATGGTTACTTGGACTAATAAGGGTTGTTTACAATACCTCACGATTTTGGCAGCCCGAGAAAATGTATAAGCCACGTGGACTAACGCGTGAAAATAGGTGACGTGGGCATCAGACTGGTTCCGTTTCTCCCCACCGTCATCGCGCTGGCGTAGCTCAGTGCCTCCGAGCTCGCCTGCAGTCCCAACGGTCGAGGGTTCAACACCCACCACAGTCAGCGTGATTTTCGAACAAAGGCCTCCACACCGCCAAGATTGTAGACAGTGATAACAAAGCTGTGGGCTAAAAGGCAAAAAATAATATTTTTATTATTTTTTTTTACTTTAGTGCCCATTGGTCGATCCAGCTAATGTACTTTAGTTGGCATAAAACACGCGTTAGTCCAGATAGCTAACACGTTCATTGGCTGCTATGCAACGAAGCATACTAGTCACTTCAACTAAACTTTTTTTTTTCGTGTGTGATGCTCTCGAGGAGTCGATTGCATGTGTACCGTCTTTCTTCAAAAATCATACTCTCAGAATGGGTTCAATCTTGTTCTCTATCGTGCAGCGAAGATAACAGGAGAACCAGCGCACAACTCAAGTTCTCTACCACCAAAAAT